AACTGGAGGATGATTACCTGTTTCCCAATGAAAAGGATTCAATTTGGATGCTTTAAGATTTCATGTTGCTTATATTTATTTATTATTTTCATTCATATTTTTGGGATATCAGGATACCGTTCCAAATATTTTAAAGTCATTTCAATAAGACCTTGATACTTCCATAGAACTCCTCCATGTTGTGAGTGTATGCAAATGATTTTGAGTAACTGCCAACCAGCAAGGATATGAAGCAGTCACTCTTCCCAATTCTGCCAGCAAGGACTCTAACCCAACAGTAAGAACAGGATCAAGAACAGAAGTACTTAAAAAAAATAAATTATGGACTAAAGTGCTCTAATGGGTGCTTTTCTCTTGTATACATGTATGCAACCTGGAGTTAGGGAGGTCACAAGTACCCTTAGAGCAGGGGTACACCAAGCACAACCTGCAGGTTGCATGTACCTTAGGGAACAGCCACTTTGGGCATCCCTGCTTTTTAAGTTTCCATACCATGAAAAACTTGAGGTAAAGGAGGCCCATATGAGATTTTTCTTGGCTTCAAAAATACAGGGACCCCACAGCACATTCATAGCTCATCAGAAATATACAAATGCTGAATCAAGCTTTGAGTTAAAAATCATTTCAGACAGATTCCAGTGGAGTGATTTAGAGCTGACTAGGATTGGAACAGGTAGTGATTATCTCCTCAGACTGAATAAAATCCATGGGATTTGGCAGGTGGACATATCACATTGGTCTTGAAATAATTCTAAAAATTCTAGTTTAATATGTGTTCCCTGCAAAATATCAGGATAAAAAATACTTGCAGCTGGAAATTTTATTCCAACTCAAATTTTCTTCACATATACACTCTGGTTCACCAAAGATGTAGGCAGCTCACCATTGTCACATGTCTTATGCACATGAACTGCCAATGCTAGGTTCGATCTCAGCATGATGCTATGATAGAAATATACTCATTGCCAAAAAAAATGCATGAGCAATTGGAAGTAGATTTCTATCTACAAGTCCAACCTGAGAAGCATCTGTATTGATTATTAAAGGCTGAGTAAAATCAGGACAAGAATAAATTGGAGCATTGACAATGGCAATTTTAAGAGCAGAGAAATCTTTGAATACCTAAGGAGTGCAACAAATCTAAGCTTTTTCTGTCCTGGCAATCAGCAGTTTGGCAATGGTGCTAAAAATTTCCATTGAAGCAGCAACAGAAAGAAACCAGACCATGGAATTCATGCACCTCACATTTATTTCTCGGGAAATGGACAATCTTGAATGGCTTTCACTTTTTTTGGATTTGGGTATATACCAGTTGGGAAGACATGATGTGACCAAGATACTCGACTTCACAGTGGAAGAAATGGCAATTAGATGATTTGAGGGTGAAACCTGCCATTTTTCAACAATCAAACGCTTGGCTGAGCTGCTCAATGTTTGTTGAAGTCTCAAGAGAATATGAGTATGTCATCTAAATAGATGAGATAGATATCCCATTGTAAACCTCTTGTACCATGAGCGCCTTGCATTGTACGCTGAAAGGTTGGGGGGGGGGGGGGTTCGTTAAACAAAAGGCCATTACTTCAAAAGAGAATAGGTCATCATCTCCTCATCTCGAAAACAGGAACAGACAAAAACCTTGACCCGACAGATTTGAGTATGTCACAGCATTATTCTTCTATCAACATGAAAAAGCCACTGGAACACATTCATGCAGCAATTGGAGTAAAAATGATGCCCATGTGCATCAGTCAAATGCCTATCAGATGCATCTAAGTATTTGAACCATGACTGCCAGACACAGTCTCTGGTGGAATCTGTTAGTACCACAAATACAATAACCTTCCCTATGGAAATTCTTCAGATACATCTTTCTCCCATTTCATACAAATGAAGTTCACACATCATGTTTCCAAAAAGACCAAGCTGGGCAAACCCTATGAGTAGGCCTCATCTCCAGGATGTTAACTCTGTTAATATTTTTTTTTAATACCAAAGAACATTATTTTCATATGAAATTAGTTACTGCATTAACTTGAAAAAGGCAGATAGCCATAAATGAGAAAAGGTTGCAAGGCTCATTATCACCAATTTCATTTCAGAGCAAAGGGGGTTATAAATTTATGCAGGTGCCCTTATGACCAAAACCAAAGCTCGAGACTATGTGCAAAGTGTATAGCAATTTCAACATGGTGCAAAATCAACTCATGCTCCTCCAATCAGAGCAGAGAGGCGAACTTGAAACTTATCAGGCCAATGTTCACTCCTTTGCACCTAAGCATAGCATGCCAAAATTGACAAAAGCAACACCAAAAGTGGGCATTTCATGAATGATGTGAAATTATAAACAATATCTGATATTGCTGGAGTTGTATAGACAACCCTCAGTCCACTGCCAAGCTGCACTGGTGAAGTACCATTTTGATGACAAGTTCATGGTGAGATGCCTGTGAGGACACAAACCCTTTAACACATTGACGACAATACGACCCACCAATGGGTCGTATAAGTTTGTCAGCGTGGGACAATACGACCCACCGGTGGGTCGTATGAGTTTTAATTGATTTTTACTGCGCTTTTAATAATTTCCTGCGATTTTTTGCAATTAATCGATAACAGGCCCGCAATAATACTGTAAACATCGTGGGCAAGCTAAATCTGGTTTCAATATTTATTTGTCATTCTTCAAAAAACAAACAATTTTGAACACCTTTTATGATGTTTGGTGAAACAATCACTGTTCTGTCTGGGTCTGTCCCACGCGCGAAAAAACGAAAAACCTCCATTGTCGTCAATGTGTTAATATTGTGTGATACTATCCCAACCATGCTATAGTCTCTATCCTGAATCCTGTCCTGTGCTGTGCTGTGCTGCATGAACCACCTCCGCAGGTAGGATCAGGCCTGCGGGCCATATGTTTGACACCCCTGTGCAATCCATCCGGAGACATTATTTTTCCCTTTTTTTGACTTTTTTTTATACACTCATTTTATGAACCTCATTACCCTTTGACTCTTTGAGAGTCTACTGTGTGCACAAGGATTCAGGATATAGACTATAAGTAAATGGTATGAATTTAGTCTCATGCCCAAAAATAAAAAGAATAACTAGAGTCTCTTCTCTTCCTTAAAAGGAAATCCCCATATGAGAACAAATGATTTTTTTTGTGTTTCCTCTGAGAAATATATAAAGAATTTCAGGAGCTGGACAGGTGGACCTGGGTTCAAATGTTTGTCTAACCTGATTTTCCTCAGGTGTTCGATGGCATCTCCCACTGGTGAAGTTGCATGGATGAGTGCAGCCCCAGATAAAATGGCACAAGGCCACTGCCATGCCTAACAGGATCAATGTCATGATCCCTATAATGACTGAAATTGGATGAAAATGCATTAGCATTATCAAACTAGGAAATGATCATGTTGTTGAATACCTAATGGAGAAACACCACCCAATTGAATATTTTATTATTTTTCTTACAGCAATAGATACTTGTAATAAAAGTCACTTGGCAGGAAATAAGAAACTCATTCAATCCTTTTCTAATCCAATGTTCAACATAAGCGATTTCCCATTTTCACTTCATTGTCAAACCAGGTTATACATCAATTTTTTCATTTTCTGGCTTTACTAGTAGCCTGTGCTCTTGTCAGACTATGGCAAGTAAACTTTTAGTTCCTCTACCCATCAACAGATGGCTTTTCACACTTGAAATTTGGTGAGGTGAAATGAGATAGACTCGGCAGAAAGGGGGGAGGAGTCGTGTCGTACGCTAAAACCGAACTGGGCGTTCGCGTCAGAGATCTCACCTCGGCTAACTGTGGAGCAATCGAACACTTATGGTGCGAGATCGGCGGGGCAACTGGGAAGATCGTGATAGGAACTTGCTATAACATAGGCCCCCTAACTCATCTCTCTAGGATGAAGCAACTTATTTTGCACTCATGCGTAGGATCGGCGAGATCTCGAAGCAGGTATTGCTCTTCGGAGAATTTAACATGCCTAACATAGATAGGTCGGTGCCGCAAGGTGGGTGCGAAAGGGATAGGAAATTCCTCGTTGCGGTTCAGGACGCCCTTCTCGTTCGGTACGTAAATGAACCGACTCGCGAGGAAGCTTTATTGGATTTAGTTTTTGAGACGGCAAAAACTAAATCCAATAAAGCATCTGCACGAGACATTTAGGTACAGGATAACTTGGGAGATTGGGATCACTGAGCGATCACGTGGAATATCAAGCGGACGAAGAGTAACGTCAAACCGAGGAAGGTTTCGTACAACTTTAAGAAGGTTAATTTCGAGAGACACGCGAATGCGTTTCAGGCATCCACTGGGAGGTGCGGCTCCGAGGGCTGACGTTATTGCAGGGCTTTATAGAGGAATGCATCCCCAAGAAATCCATAAAACCGGGCAGGCAACCGGTCTGGTTTACGGGGTAAAATCAAAGCTCTCATCAGGGATCAAAAGCGGAAATGGGATGCGTACAAGCGGACGGGAGATAGCACGGACTCGCTAATGAACGAAAAGAGGGAGTTGATTGCAACTGATATGGCCAGTATACTTAACGAGTTCTTCGCTTCCGTTTTCACTATGGAATACGACTCGGCACCAACTTTGGAGGTGACCTCGGCGCGCATTGAGGATATTTCCATCACCGAGGAGACGATCGTGAATACAATAGGGAAGTTATCTTATCGCCCATTTATGATTAAAGATAAATAAAATGTGTGAGATTCCATGTGCCTTACAGCCACATGAATCATTCCCGAAGAATTCTCTCACTCTAACAATCAAATATATATATCCCTTGGTGCTAACAATGAATTCTTGACAAAGCATGACAGTAAGAATTATATATAATTGCGCAACGCCTGCTGAAAGTAAAGCCTCAATTTTCAACTTCAATAATTAACAAAGTACTTAATCCAGGCCTGAGATCCAAACTTGAAAAGGAAAAACTTGATGAAAATACACTTCTCTACATCAAAGGAAAATAAAAATGAAAAGATGTTGGGTAAGGTAAAGACTTAATCGAATTATCACAAGTGAAGTTATAGGCAGAACAGATGAGAGATGATCACAGCATTTAATGTAGATATTCATAAGGGAGTGGTTCTCTAACCCCCCCCCCCCTCCACCACCCAACCTTTAACACCAAAAAAGATTCATTCATCCACATGTACCAAAACAAATACCTATTTTAGTACTGTAGTATCAACTGATACAAATACCTCCCAGTGACTGTCAAAATCCAAAAGTGAAATGCCCATCCCTGAGATTTTATTCATGAGCTGTAGAAAGGCAAAAGACTTGTATAAAAATGAGAGGAACAGGTTGGATAAAGAAAATTCAACATGCTCAGGAAAGCAAATGGCACCAGAGACACTAGACACTCTCCCTGAAGGCACACCTGTTGGAGTAATCACAGTGTGCTACACAAGAGTATCTGTTGGATTGGCTGAACCTGATGAAGAAATTCCAAGAATACCAACAGCTAATAAATTATTATTTTCATAATAGTGGATCTGAGTACAGGTCACCTATTCCTGGATCCACCATTCATCACAAGGGAATCTCATGGCATGGTAGCCCATTCCTGAAATGGAAACAGAGAAAAACCTTTTTTGACATTTGACATAATTCATCAAGCATTCTGGACATAATAAGCACATATTAATGATACCAAGTCTAAATTTCCCCCAGAACCTCATTATTTATGAGTCAACATCCATGAAACATAAACTTTGAACTTCAGAAATGCTATGAAGGTATCTACTAAGACATGCTTTTGCTTACACATTGACAGCTGAGCTCTGAGCATCTCATTTCAAGACCATGAGATCCACTCAGTTTTTCCAAGTGAATAGCTTTCTTTTGAAAAAGCAGACTCCACTGATTGGGTTTCAGTCTTTCTACTTACCAAATTATATTTTTTAATGTTCCTTCAGCCTATATTCTTTACTCCAAGCTTGACATCACTCCAAGCAGCTCATATCCTCATGGTACCTTTGTTGGATGGTTTGAGACAAGAGGTATAGTATATGTGAAGCATTTCACTGGTTTTAGCATGGTAGAACAAAGTTTCAAGATCATAGGATGATGTAATGCAAAGTAAACATACAAAATGCCCAAGGAAAGGGTGCAGGAAAGGCAGTGCCAATGAGGGCATTGGCTTCCTTTCCTCTCTCCCTCAAGTCACTTAATTATAGAGCTGTTTTTGAGAGACTAACTACAAGGCAGTGCCAAGATGAGGTCACTGGAGGAATTTCAACAAGTTCCTGGAGGGCTTCATCATGGGAAGATAACTGGGATGCTCAACATGCATTCCCAATAAGCCAACATTGACCAAGCACTCAACACAACAATGACCCTATAGAAAAGACACCAGAGGGAGAGAAAAAGGAAACGAAGTATGTGTACAACCTAAGGATGCAGGTTGCAAGATTCCAGTTTGGGATAGCTCAAATATGTGGACAGATTTCAGCAAAATGACAAAAATGGCACCAACAATATTTATTTGTCTCATGATAACCAGGGGTTGAACATAAATATGCTGAAAGTCATGAGTTGTTACATGAGTTAGAACACTTGCAGTTTGCTTGACTAGGTTTCTTCCATTACACAGTGGTACAAAAATTTGGAAATTCCCAGGCAAAAGTCATATTTTGAAAATGGAGAAAGAAAAAATATTTTGTGTTAAAAGTTACAGATTGAAGTATTTGTCCTGTAATGCTATTTCTTCAGTCCTTCCAATGGTCCTTTATTATCCATTACAAGGTGCAAAGGTCAATGAATTGAACTCTTCTTAAAATACAGGTAATTGATGCCAAAATGTGATAAAAGTTTGTGATGTAATATCTTGTATCTTCATTGAGAGTGATCTGAAGGTGTACCTAAAGGTGAGTCTATAATTTTACTCCTGATGTATATGCATAACTCATGTCATTCATTAGATCCTGTGTAGTTGATTGGTGAACTACTTTTAAAGACAAGGTAAATTTATCAAGTGAATTTGAAAAACTTGAAACTCTGAAAAAGATTTCTCAGAGAATTCCTTTTAGGCCAATGAGTACATATTAATGAAGAACAAAATCAGTCCCTAATCTCCTGCACTCAGCTGTGCCTAAAGTGAGGAATTTTTTTCTTCATATTGTTGGTCTTGCAATTTCTTCAGGAAAGATGTCCAAGGCTAAGGGACCTCTACAACAACATGAGGGACATGATCCAAGCTGACCTTGTTGACTTAAGTGTCATTCCTGTGCTGATCAAGCTCATTCAAGTTTAATGCAAAATAAACCAAGAATTCCATGAATCAGGGCAGCATGAATTGTTGAAAAGAGCCAAGCTTTTCAGACTGCAATGCCAAATGGCTGGAATCGGCAAAAAATTTTCTTACTTCAAGCACAGCTGGGTGCAGGAGATAGGGGGCTGATTTTGGCTGATTCTCCATTTTCAAAATATGACTTTTGCCAACTTTTGTACCACTGTGCATTGACTTGTTCTGGGCCCTAGTGAAATTTGGTATTATAAAGTTCAAGTTTCATTCTTCTCTAACCCCTTCCAGTGATCTCAACGGTGCCTACGATCATAGTGACATGACACTGTATTGTTTCTATTGAATCTCATGCTTTACTTGAGGGTAACAGTCTTATTTATAAATAAGAATGACATTGAACATCTTTCCAGCTCAGTAAGGAGATAACTTTTGCAAATGCTAAGCAGGAGCAACCCAAGGAGGGTAAATTAGTGCCAAACTAGCAAATGCTATTCATGTGCTACTTCTGATCTGATTTCAATGACACCTGACACCCATGCTTGCAGCCCACATCTTGTAATTTTCAAGCACATGAAAGTGGTCACACAAAGAGAGCAGATAATGCAGTCATGAAAAAGACCAACAGAGATCAAAATGCAAAATATTTAGAACTGTCAAATTATTGTCAAATGATTTACCCTGACCAAAACTGACAAAATTCCAGAGTGAACTTTGAATCTTACCTCAATGAAAACTATGGTTGGCATTTTTTGCTGAAATTAATCTGGGTTATATTATTGCTTTACATCCATATTTTCTGTAAAAATCCCAATTACCAGCTATTTATTATGGATTTAAATTCACAAATCATCAATATCCTATTTTGCATTATTCATTAGAAATCAGAACTAATTGACTAAAGGTAGGGCCAATATTACATTTATCTGATGATAGAGGATTAATCCCAAGTTTTAACAAATTTTTTTGCAAAAATTTTATTGGTAACCAGTATCAGCTCAGATTAACTGAAGCTGAAGTAATTAGGCTAACCTGGTTCTGGCATCATGGTGATTTGACAAAGAATCTTCATTCTCCACAGGAATGGGACGATTCATAGCCTCTAGTTGAATCTGTTAATACCACAAACAAAATAACCTTCCCTGTGGAGATTCATCAGGTACATCTTTCTCCCATTTCATACAAATGAAGTTCACACAGCATGTTTCCAAAAAGATCAAGCTGGGCAAAGCCCATCCCTAGGAACTCAGTTAAAATTTTTTTTTTTATACAAAAGAACATTATATTCATTTCAAATTAGTTACTGCATTAACTTGAAGCAGGCAGATATCCATAAATGAGAAAAGGTTTCAAGGCTCATTACCACCAATTTCATTTCAGAGCAAAGGGGGTTATAAATTGATGCATATGACCAAAACCAAGACTCAAGACTATGTGTAAAAAGTAGAGCAATTTCAACATAGTGCAAAATCAACTCATGCTCCTCCAATCAGAGCAGAGAGACAAACTTAAAACTTATCAGGCCAATTTTCACTCATCTGCCTCTAAGCATAGCATGCCAAAGTTGGCATTTCACAAACTTATCAACAATATCTAATATTGTAGAAATTAATATTGAAATTATCAACAATATCTAACATTGTAGGAGTCATAAAGACTACCCTCAGTCCACTGCCAAGCTGCACTGGTGAAGTACCGTTTTGGTGACAAGGTCACTGTGAGATGCCTGAGGACACAAATCCTGTAATATTGTGTGATGCTATCTCAACCAAGCTACAGTCTGTATCCTGAATCCTTGTGAAGCAACAGTGCCTGCTGGCAGGAGAACCTCCATATAAGGGACTAACACCTTGCCATCTGAGTTGATAGAAAGAATCAATATTTATGACCCCTCAAGGAGGGAAGGGGTAAAAAAGGAGAGGGGGTGGGGTGGTCAAAAAAGGGAAGTACTAGAGTTCAGGAAAGTTTCATTTACCATGTTTATTTCCATTAATTTATCATATCCATGAACTAACACCACTCCTCTTGTGTCGGTTCATCATAGAGTATATTATGTGGATGTACAGATGGGACTTGGTGGGGAAGAGGCTAATGGAATGAGAAATGCACTTCATTCCTTGTTTTATGCATTTCTAATCCTTTCATTGCCCATTAGCCCCAATAACGATTGTTTCAGTGATGGAAATAGGCCAGTTATGGCAGTGGTGACGAATCTTTACCACTTCAGGACATTTTGGTCAAACCTTCAAATTCCTCTTTAGACTCGTCTTCCCCAAGAGTGATGATCATCCTGTCAATTGTCATAGCTGCTAGCTCAGGGGTATCAAACTCAAATCAGTCAGTGGGCTGCATTACATACCCTGCAGATGCTTGCAGGTCACACCCATCTGAAATTTTCTGCAGACCTAAGCAGAAATTTCAAGAACAGATGACAGGCCAGATGAACCGCTGCAGCAGGCCTGTATCTGGCCCACAGGCTGTATATTTGACTGATACCCTTGTACTAGCTCACCCATCCTGAGATATTCTTTTTTCCATATTGCTTGACAGAATTGCTCCATATTGCTGAGACCAAGATCCTTGTGTGGCCACATGAGTCTATTCTTCATTGTTGACCAGACCATTTTTATTACAGCATTACAGCAGCAATGGTATGGTGGAAGTTGCCAAACTTGAACACCATTGAGGTTCAGTTAATTCCTCCGAAGTGTACTTCTGTAGTATTTCAGCTCAGGTATTCATTTCTCCAGACGACTCTTCTTGAAGATTCCATAATGATTTCTGTGCTGATTGAACTTGCATAAGCAAAAACTCAAGTGGGTGAGGAGTTGATGAAGATATGCAGCCTTGTATGAAAATTCATCATATTTCCCTGCAGTCAGTGCTTCAGACGTTGGAGTAAATGACTAATTGTTGGTGCCTCCTTCCCTTCATACATTTCATACATAATCCTCCAAATGAAGTAGCACAGGAACTCATCAGCTTTTCAGAACTGCTTCACCTTTGTTCCATCCTTCTTTGGGGTTCTGGGGACACCATGATTGATGATTTTTGACATGGTATTCTGGTGGATTCCCAATATTTTCACTCTGTCCTTCACAGCAGTCTTCCTATACTTCCCTTCACAGTATCAGAAAGCACTTGGCACCAGAACTTGCATAGACTTCATGAAAGCTACTCCCTTGAGCAATGGGGAAAGGGTGAGACTTCCTCTGATAGCTTGGGAATTTGTTGCTGAAGATGGTTGCGACAGTGGTGATGGTGATGAAGAGATGATGAATTAATTCATTTGGATTCAAAGGTCACCACATGATGCTGTCTGACCACAGACTGAGCGAAAATAAAATTTCAAGGAAAGGAGGCTGTTTGGACAGGGCCATAAACCAAGACAATTTTTTTTAAATTCCCCTTAGTCAACATTATTGCTCTCATTTGTCACTATCAGCAGTGACACTTGTGACACTCATCTTATGAACCTCATTACCCTTTGACTCTTTGAGAGTGTACAGCATGCACAAGGATTCAGGATATGGACTACATGTAAATGCTATGAACTTAGTCTCATGTCCAAAAATGCTAAAAAAAAATGCAAAAAAAAATTACACGAGTCACATCTCTTCCTTAAAAGTAAATCCCCCATATGAGAACAAATGATTTTTAGTGTTTCCTCTTAGAAATCTATGAAGAAATTCAAATGCTGGACAAGTGAACCTGGGTTCATGTATGTGTATCTGACCTGATTTTCCTGAGGTGTCTGATGGCTTCTCTGTATGGTCCTGATATTCCATGGCCAAGTGCAGCCGTAGGTGAAATAGTACCAGGCCGCTACCAGGCAAATAAGAACCACTGCCAAGACCACGAAAATGACTGAAATTGGATGAAAATGCATTAGTGTTATCAAACTAGGAAAGGGTCATTTCATTTGAAAATAGCTAATGCAGAAAGAGTCACTTAATTGAATCTTCTATTATTTTTCTTACAGCTATTGGTGCTTGCAATAGAAGTCACGTGGCAGGAAGTAAGAAACTCAATCAACCCTAATCCAATGTAGAATCTAGTTCAACATAAGCGATTTCCCATTTTCACTCCATTGTCAAACCAGGCTTTATATCAATTTTCTCATTTTCTGGCTTCACTAGTAGCCAGTGCTCTTGTCAGGCTAAGGCAAGTAAACTCTTAGTCTCTCTACCCTTCAACAGGCGGCTTTTCATGCTTGAATTTTCTTTTTGGTGTAGAATATATCATCTTTCAATAGATAATCTGTGATTTGTTAGCAAAGATGGCTGCCTAAAGGTCAAAGTGTATGCCTAAAAAGACAAAATGTGAACAGATAGAAAATGATAAAATGCCTCAAATTTCATTAAATTTTGTAACTACATTCTTTACTCTAGTATTTAAAAAATTGCCTTGATCTGATGAGAAGTACTGTCGTCTTTGGCGAAAATGACTTGGCAGGTTCTTTATTTTTTTAAAACACCATGCATAAACATGCCTGCTTGGAGAAACCACATTAATTCCTAAATCACAGATACAATGCTGCCAGCCTCTCTCAGGAAAGATGATATTTTGACAGGTTTTCTGTGGCAGACAGGTGGAATTGCAAAATCATGTAATACAAGCAGATATTTCTAAAGTCTGCCTTCGTGGAAGTTCGTTGGATAAAAATACCAGTAGTTTTCCTTTCCTCTTAACTTTAACCCCTAAAGTACGAGGGATCATGCAAAAGTCCGCGGCAACTATTTTTTCCCTTCCGCTCATCGTGATGATTATATTTTTCCTTTGTTCCTTCATTATTCATGAGTGTAAGGAAAAATATCCAGAAAAATTGAAGTGATGGAGACGCGGAAACGGAAATCGGATGAAGCTGAACCGGTTGAATTTCCGCCGCCGGTTTTGGAGGAAATCCGGTACGCGATTTTGTTTTTTTTTTTTTCCGTCGTGGGATGAAGGGAAGCGAGATTCTTCGGGAGCTTCAAGCGATCTACGGCGAACATGCTCCAGGCAAGACGATGGTCAACAAGTGGATTTCGCAATTTCAAAGTGGAAATTTCAGCGTCCAAGACGATCCACGTGATTCACGTCCCCGAAGCTCAACGGACGACCAAAATGTGGCGGCAGTGAAGGCGGCGATCGACAACGATAGCAGAATCACCCAAGAAAAGCTCGGGGCAATGCTGAAAATCGGCCAGGAAGCTGTCTCAAGGATCCTGAATCGACTTGGTTACACCGAGAAATCTGCAAGATGGGTCCCCAAGCTTTTGACGCCTGAACAGAAGGAGGCTCGAGTCAAGTTCGCCAAGGACGCCGCCCCCTTACTCCCCGGACCTGGCCCCCAGCGATTTTTGGCTCTTTCCAAAGCTGAAGGAGCCTCTCCGTGGGAAAGTCTTCGAAACCGAGGAAGAAATCGCCGCCGCAGTCCAGGAGCAGCTGGATCATTTGGAGAAGGCCGATTTTGAATTCTGCTTCCAGTGCTGGATTAACCGCCTCCAGAAATGCATCAATATCGGCGGGGAATATGTTGAGAAGTGCTGAATTTTTTTTCGGTTTGGGATCATGAATAAACATGCTTCATGGAAAAAAAATGAAAAAAAATCTGTCTACATTATTTCTTTGAGTTGCCGCGGACTTTTGCATAATCCCTCGTAATGTATATATATCTGTCATGGTGCAAAGCTCCCCAGGTGGATTTGGCATTTTTTCATTGCAATATACTTTGAGTTAGAGTTAAATATAAGTTCAAAGCATGAAATAGGATAAACTCAAAGAAGAGTAGTACATTTTTTACACAGCCACTAATAACACCCAATTACTTGTTCAGACTTCAGTGGAAGACTTCTGCCAGAGAAATATCCAACTTTAGGGGTAAACAAATTTTTAAAGGAACCCTATTTTTTGACAAAACAGTCAACTCTTGTTAATCAGAATGTCAATAATCTGGATCTCTCAGTAATTCAGGCAGAAGAATGTTTTCAGAAGTTCAATAGAACCAAAAATAAAATTTTCCATTCAATCCATATATCATTATTCAGTAGTTTCCATCATAAGGATGAGTTCTAACCATCTGGGCCATTCTCCCCCATTAACCTAGACTTGCCAGCAAAATAGATAAAATACAACAGTAAAGAAAATATTTATATGTCCTTTCCCTACATCTTCATTCTCCCTCACTCTTGGGAAAAAATTGAAGAAAAAACTCATATCTCCATAGATCTCTCCCTTTCCAGGAGAAATAAGAATGGCAAGAATTATGCTCCCTCCATTGAGACTTTCACACTTTACTGCCATCTCACTTTTCTCATCAATCTAATCCATCCTTGCCATTATAGCCAATTATAGCCTCCTGTCAGGAGTGTTCTCAGCTTGATCTCATGTAGGACAAGATGGAAGTTTTGAAGCACTTAGACTTAGGTGAAAGGCAAGCTAAGGTAGCATGATCTGGATATTCCAACATCAACAGTATCAGATATAAAGTAGCATCACTATAAACTTGAACAGGTTGCTGTCCTGACTGGTGTCCCTCACTTGCAGAAACATACAAAGCACACACTGTTCCATGAATCAAAGCAAAAGAAAATCTGGGATTTCCTTTATGTGACTGATTGTAAGAACTGAGTCAATGCTTTCCCAATCCCATGGGGAAAAAATGGAGGCACTCTTTGCTTGTTAGGGGTGCAGTTTTCTTCTACAGAAATAAAAGAAGAAAAAGGAATGATCACTTCGCATGAATTTGATGCAAAGATACCATTAATCCACACAAAACCACCAGTCCCTAGAGTTCAGATCAATGAGAGCTGACTCACCTCCACCTCCAAGTATTTAACAAGTTCTCCCACCTGTATTAGACATTTTAAATAATAGAGAAAAATGCCAAAGCAACTCCTCCTACAAATTAAAAAAATTAGAGGAAGAGTCAAAGTGTGTCAGTGAACAATTTTTTTTCCCAATTGAGTGAACTGAGGTGGTATGACCTAAAAGTGATTACTAATTACCTGTGGGTAACTTGGATTTTTACACAAATAGGTGAAGCTTCATAACCAAGAACCTGCAACAAGTAGAAAAAAAACAAACAAAATTGGCTCCATGAGAAAAAATTGCATTATTATCAATGTAAGATAGAACATAGTAAGCAGAGAATTAATAAAAAGAAAGGTAAATTAGCATTAAATTTTATTGAGACAGCCTCTAATATAATCTGTTGTGGATAAAAAGCATTTTGACATCATATCTTGTGACCTCACATCCAAGAAACATGGGGGCTTATGAATCAAATACTTGTTGTGTCAGTTGGTTATAGGTGCTGATGAATGTGCAAAGTTTCATTGAAGCATGCAGATGTGACATGGCAAATGCCCTCAGGTTATTGATGAACTGACCTAATGACAGACCTGCCATGATTACAATACTTTCCATACGGGAATCCAGGTCCATCTGGCACCTCTCCAGGTTCATCTGTAGCCCTGACAGCAGGGATATTTTTGAATGCAGATCTGAAATCCCTCCAGGGGTAGATGGGGGAGGCTTGGGGCAAGGTCCAATGTCCCGATTTGGCACATAACTTGTCCTGAGGAATTGATATCTTTTTTCTCCCATTTTTCCTTCCAAGTAACCCTGTCAAAATAATAAACATGTTCATTGATATTTCATCCATTCCAAATACTTCACTTCAGTTATGTAACTTCTTCTATCTCCATCAGGTGCTACCAATTATGCAAGTAAGTAATAGGATCACACAGGAAAGAAAATACAATATATATTACAGAAAAAAAATTCATACAAATCTCCAACCTATTATTTATCAATGTGCGATTATCCTTATTAACCTCAGAAATGGGAACTCTCCAGGTCTGTTCAATGTGGGGCATCCACAAAAAAAAAGTTTCATTCTTGAGCATGAAAGGCAAGTCTCTAGTAAGGTGTGAACAGTAACTGATTCAATTTATTTTGCCTCATCTATACTGGTATATGCCAAAACCAGCACTCAAATAAGTGGCTTCTGTTTGGTAACCCCAAATCTAAAGGCATGTTTCATTTGAAAAAAAAAACTGAGGTATTCATTTTTTATGTTCCTTCATCTCTGTAAGAAAAACAGTATGAATGGAATTTCTTACCCTCTGGTAATTCTCTACCATTCTTTCTTTTTTAACCATTCTATGGGTGAGTTTTTCTTCCAAGTGATTTTTTTGGCAAAATGACAGCTTACATGAATGATCTTTGCACATTAATCTGCTGAATTATTCTGGGAAATATGCCAATTAATTTACAAGGATTGAGGTGCAATATATTTAAACCTTCAGCAGTGCATACTCTGACAGGCTCACCTATGGCAAAAATGATATTTCAGTGCATCACAGTGAAAGGGTTAAAGGTCAATTATTTTATATTCCTTTTTAAAACTAGTACTGCTTTTGAAAGATAAGTAAATTGCTCAGTTTATGAGGTTAATTTTTCAGAACAGAAAAGCCAGAAAAATTGTGTGACCGCCTGTCTGGCAATGCTGAACTTTAACGTTACAAATCACTTTAAATTTACAACCTCTGGTACCTTACCTTTATATAAATGACAGTACCCTGTCATAAGTACCTCTACCTCTCATTCCTCAAACATATTTTTACCTTCCCAGATGAAGATGAAGCCAAAATGTTTAAAGAGATCATTTATATAATCAAGACAAAAACTGATGACTTCAATGAAGTAGTTGCACAAAAATTCAAATTGAATAGAAGGACTACATGAATAATTACCAATTCCACGTAGCCTGGATAATTTCCCCTGCTAAAATTTAGCAAAAAAGTTGAGTCACAGGAACCACTAATGAAAAAACTGAAGCAAAGGAGCTGATATCATGGTTATCAAACCATGATATCAGCTCCTTTGCTTCAGTTGACACATTTAAAAATCTGCAAGGAGGCCTCAACACATCATGAAGTGAGCAAAAACATGAAGGACTTACAAACATATAGATGGTTTTCCTGTTATCCAGAGACTGGGAGTTGTGAGTTTCAATTCCTATCCTAAAAACAACATGGGATCCAGAGATTGCCAATCCCTGAATGGGGACCACCTCCTCATCATCACACAGGATGAAGGTGTGAAGTGGTGAGCTCAAATTCATGTAAGGAAACTGCAAAAGAATTCAGGATTTAGCATTACACCACAATATGAGCAACAGGTCCATATTTCCAGCCAAGCACAAAGACAATCAACAGTCTCCTGCAATAAACCTAGGCAACATTAATTTTAATCTAGATGGTAATTATACAAAACAAGGTCGATCAATCACCAAGGATTCAGGTTCAAGGTTCATGTAGATGCACTTTCACCTATTATGATGTCCTGTGTCAAGGTCTTGCATTCTAAAATAAGATAAGCTGACCCCTTTTAAACAGTGACATTTGTGGGACCACATCCACCTACTACTTAATTACTTCCACTGCTCCCTTTTTTGTGTTTTCCTTGAAGACAACTAAATTCTTTTTGAAGCTAGTCACGAAAGGGGAACCCAAATCACTAATCATGTCAGTCAACTTTTGTGTCTCCATGAAGCAATGCAGACAAAATGTCACTGAAACCAGCTTGATCCACATTGGGGTATAGCTGAACCTACCTCTATGATTGCCACTATGCCTAATATTTCCTATATTTACAAGTTCTCTCTCAAAAGATTCAATCCAAGAACTGAAAACATTACAGTAAATTTGTGTCCCATGCACCCTCCATAGACAGTTAGGAGCCAGTAGAGTGCCTTCAATATGAAATCAATTTATTAAGTTTTATTGCATACTGTGAGGCCTGACAAACATCAATATAGCTCTTGTGAGCTTTTCTTTTGTGGTTTTTCTCAAAGTTGATTTCTAATTTTTCTACTAGTAAAAAAAAAAACAATAGATCTTTGGAGATGCAGTGGACAATGCTTTTTGCCATTAGATTGGTGCAAGGGCAAGGGCAAGACAATAATAAGTGGCTGATAACAGGTAGTAATCAACAAAACTCAGAATTCAGTACTTTCATAACCAAATTGTCTTAAATGAAAGAAATAATAGTTAAATTCAACTCTCTTATATTTTAGTCTTGCAGCCATCATACAGATTTTAATACCAATCAAGGCTGTTTCCAGCACTCAATGACTGGGACAGACTAGGAAAGTGCCTCTGTCAAGCCCATTGAAAAATTCAATGATTCAGGACCCAATGAGTTGCATATAGGTGTCACACACTTATATGCAGCAATAGTTATTCAAAGACAGGAAAAGATTTTGCAAAAAGTATGGCATTTGATTTTTGTTTTCAAGAAATGACCACAATATCCTGCTGACAATAACCAGTGACCACAGTAAGCAATGTCTACTATTTAGCATCTGTTATTATTTTAAAGAGGTTCATTAACCAGACTGATTCTCCTAGTAAACCAAATCCATCTATTTACACCCTTCTCAGATTGAATTCATAGCCCCTACCCCATTGAGGATTGAAAATGGGAGAAAGCATTATAAAGGATCTGCTTCTGAAGAATGGCAGCAATTTGATGGAGATGCTCCTTTGAATTCAATCTGGAAACAGTGCACAATCTCTCAGGCTTGTCTGTATCACTTAGCTTCTTTTCAAAAAGATCATGATCTCACATTGAAGTTGAATGTCACTGAGAGGGGATCCAAATTTCCCAGGTCCTCCTTTACAAGAACCTCCACATTGACTTCTATCCCCTCGTAATTGAAATGGCAATCTGCCTTGTTCTTCCTCAATCTGCAGAAGTCTTCTGCAAAGGAAAGTTCCACTTATTAATTAATTTTCTTTTCCATGACATGTCAAGAACTAGCCATAGCATTCAATTCAGTTAAATAGTGATGGGACGAGCTCACACTCCCATATAATAGAGACCATCACTTTCTGTCAACCAATGCTAGGTTTATTGCAGGAGACTGTTGATTGTCTTTGTGCTTGGCTGGAAATATGGACCTGTTGCTCATATTGTGGTGTAATGCTAAATCCTGAATTCTTTTGCAGTTTCCTTACATGAATTTGAGCTCACCACTTCACACCTTCATTCTGTGTGATGATGAGGAGGTGGTCCCCATTAAGGGATTGGCAATCTCTGGATCCCCTGTCATGTTTAGGATAGGAATTGAAACCGACACCTCCCAGTCTCTGGATAACAGGAAAACCATATTTATGTTTGTAAGTCCTTCATGTTTTTGCTCACTTCATGATGTGTTGAGGCCTCCTTGCAGATTTTTAAATGTGTCAACTGAAGCAAAGGAGTTGATATCATGGTTATCAAGTTGAAGGAAATTTTTTCATTAGCGGTTCCCATGAGCTAAATTTTAGCAGGGGAAATTATCCAGGCTATGTTGGATTTTGTAATTATTCATGTAGTCCTATTCAGTTTGAATTTTTGTGCAACTACTTCATTGATGTCATCAGTTTTTGTCTTGATCTCTTTAAACATTTGGGCTTCATCTTCATCTGGGAAGGTAAAAATATGTTTGAGGAATGAGAGGTAGAGGAACTTATGACAGGGTACTGTCATTTATATAAAGGTAAGGTACCAAAGGTTGTAAATTTAAAGTGGTTTGTAACATTAAAGTTCAGCATTGCCAGACAGGCAGTCACACAATTTTTTCTGGCATTTTTCTGTTCTGAAAAATTAACCTCATAAACTGAGCAATTTACTTAGCTTTCAAAAGCAGTACTAGTTTTAAAAAGGAATATAAAATGATTGACCTTTAACCCTTTCACTGTGATGCACTGAAATTTCATTTTTGCCATAGGTGAGCCTGTCAGAGTATGCACTGCTGAAAGTTTAAATATATTGCACGTCAATCCTTGTAAATTAATTGACATATTTCCCAGAATAATTCAGCAGATTAATGTGCAAAGATCATTCATGTAAGCTGTCATTTTGCCAAAAAAAGATCACTAGGAAGAAAAACTCACTTAAAGAATGGCTAAGAAAAGAAAGAATGGTAGAGAATTACCAGAGGGTAAGAAATTCCGTTCATACTGTTTTTCTTACAGAGATGAAGGAACATAAAAAATGAAGAATACCTCAGTTTTTTTTTTTTTTCAAATGAAACATGCCTTTAGATTTGGGGTTACCAAACAGAAGCCACTTATTTGAGTGCTGGTTTTGGCGTATACCAGTATAGATGAGGCAAAATAAATTGAAACAGTATTGCTGTTCACACCTTACTAGAGACTTGCCTTTCATGCTCAAGAATGAAACTTTTTTTTTTGTGGATGGCCCACAATGAACAGACCTGGGAGCTCCCATTTCTGAGGTTAATAAGGATCATCACACATTGGTAAATAATAGGTTGGAGATTTTTATACATTTTTTTGCCAGTAATATATTTTGTATTTTCTTTCCTGTGTGATCCTATTACTTACTTGCATAATTGGTAGCACCTGCTGGAGATAGAAGAAATTACATAACTAAAGTGAAGTATTTGGAATGGATGAAATATCAATGAACATGTTTATTATTTTGACAGGGTTACTTGGAAGGAAAAATGGGAGTAAAAAGGTACCAATTCCTCAGGACAAGTTATGTGCCAAATCGGGACATTGGACCTTGTCCCAAGACTCCCCCATCTACTCCTGGAGGGATTTCAGATCTGCATTCAAAAATATCCCTGCTGTCAGGGCTACAGATGAACCTGGAGAGGTGCCAGATGGACCTGGATTCCCGTATGAAAAGTATTGTAATCATGGCAGGTCTATCATTAGGTCAGTTCATCAATAACCTGAGGGCATTTGCCATGTGCCATCTGCATGTTCCAATGAAATTTTGCACATTCATCAGCACCTATAACCAACTGACACAACAAGTATTTGATTCATAAGTCCCCATGTTTCTTAGATGTGAGGTCAAAATGCTTTTTATCCATGACAGATTATATTAGAGGCTGTTGCGATAAAATTTAATGCTAATTTACCTTTCTTTTTATTAATTCTAGGCTTACTATGTTCTATCTTACATTGATAATAATGCAATTTTTTCTCATGGAGCCAATTTTTTTTTTTTTCTACTTGTTGCAGGTTCTTGGTTATGAAGCTTCACCTATTTGTGTAAAAATCCAAGTTACCCACAGGTAATTAGTCATCGTTTTTAGGTCATACCACCTCAGTTCACTCAATTGGGAAAAGAAATTGTTCACTGACTTACTATAATTTGGCTATAATGGCAAGGATGGATTAGATTGATGGGAAGAGTGAGATGGCAGTAAAGTGTGAAAGTCTCAATGGAGGGAGCATTCTTATTGCCATTCTTATTTCTCCTGGAAAGGGAGAGATCTATGGAGATACGAGTTTTTTCTTCAATTTTTTTCCAAGAGTGAGGGAGAATGAAGATGTAGGGAAAGGACATATAAATATTTTCTTTACTGTTGTATTGTATCTATTTTGCTGGCAAGTCTAGGTTAATGGGGGAGAATGGCCCAGATGGTTAGAACTCATCCTTATGAATGGAAACTACTGAATAATGATATATGGATTGAATGGAAAATTTTATTTTTGGTTCTATTGAACTTCTGAAAACATTCTTCTGCCTGAATTACTGAGAGATCCAGATTATTGACATTTTGATTAACAAGAGTTGACTGTTTTGTCAAAAATAGGGTTCCTTTAAAAATTTGTTTACCCCTAAAGTTGGAAATTTCTCTGGCAGAAGTCACCACTGAAGTCTGAACTTTCATTGGGTGTTATTAGTGGCTGTGTAAAAAATGTTACTACTCTTCTTTGAGTTTATCCTATTTCATGCTTTGAACTTATATTTAACTCTAACTCAAAGTATATTGCAATGAAAAAATGTCAAATCCACCTGGGGAGCTTTTCACCATGACAGATATATATACATTACTTTAGGGGTTAAAGTAGAGGAAAGGAAAACTACTGGTATTTTTATCCAACGAACTTCCAAGAAGGCAGACTGAAGAAATATCTGCTTGTATTACATGATTTTGCAATTCCACCTGTCTGCCACAGAAAACCTGTCAAAATATCATCTTTCCTGAGAAAGGCTGGCAGCATTGTATCTGTGATTTAGGAATTAATGTGGTTTCTCCAAACAGGCATATATATGCATGGTGTTTTTAAAAAAAAAGAACCTGCCAAATCATTTTTGCTAATGACGACAGTACTTCTCATCAGATCAAGGCAATTCTTTAAATACTAGAGTAAAGAATGTAGTTAAAAAATTTAAAGAAATTTGAGACATTTTATCATTTTTTATCTGTTCACATTTTGTCTTCTTAGGCATACACTTTGACCTCTAGGCAGCCATCTTTGCAAACAAATCACAGATTATCTATTGAAAGATAATATATTCTACACCAAAAAGAAAATTCAAGCATGAAAAGCCGTCTGTTGATGGGTTGACAGACTAAGAGTTTACTTGCCTTAGTCTGACAAGAGCACTGGCTACTAGTGAAGCCAGAAAATGAGAAAATTTATATAAAGCCTGGTTTGACAATGGAGTGAAAATGGGAAATCGCTTATGTTGAACTAGATTCTACATTGGATTAGAAAAGGGTTGATTGAGTTTCTTACTTCTTGCCAAGTGACTTCTATTGCAAGCACCGATAGCTGTAAGAAAAATAATAGAAGTTTCAATTAGGTGACTCTTTCTGCATTAGGTATTTAGAATGAAATGACCCTTTCCTAGTTTGATAACACTAATGCATTTTCATCCAATTTCAGTCATTCTCGTGGTCTTGGCAGTGGGCCTCATTTGCCTGGTAGTGGCCTGGAATACAAGGGACAAACAGAGAAACCCTCAGGCACATCAGGAAAATCATCCGGGATCAAATCAGGTCAGATACACATACATGAACCCAGGTTCACTTGTCCAGCATTTGAATTTCTTCATAGATTTATAAGAGGAAACACAAAAAATCATTTGTTCTCATGGGGATTTACTTTTAAGGAAGAGATGGGACTCATGTAATTTTTTTTTTCATTTTTTTTAGTATTTTTGGACATGATACTTAACATTTACATAACATTTCATAACATTTACATGTAGTCCAAATCCTGAATCCTTGTGCATGCTGTACACTCTCAAAGAGTCAAAGGGTAATGAGGTTCATAAGATGAGTGTCACTGCTGATGGTGACAAATGAGAGCAATAATGTTGACTAATGGGAATTTAAAAAAAAATTGTCTTGCTTTATGGCCCTGTCCAAACATCCCCATTTCATTGAAATTTTATTTTCGCTCAGTCTGTGGTCAGACAGCTTCATGTGGTGACCTTTGAATCCAAAGGAATTAATTCATCATCCCTTTATCACCATCTCCACCTCCATCACCACCATCACAACCATCTTCAGCGACAAATTCCCAAGCTATCAGAGGAAGTCTCACCCTTTCCCCATTGCTCAAGGGAGTAGCTTTCATGAAGTCTATGGAAGTTCTGGTGCTAAGTGCTTTCTGATACTGTGAAGGGAAGTATAGGAAGACTGCTGTGAAGGACAGAATGAAAATATTGGGAATCCACCAGAATACCATGTCAAAAATCATCAGTCATGGTGTCCCCAGAACCCCGAAGAACATTGGAACAAAGGTGAAGCAGTTCTGAAAAGCTGATGAGTTCCTGTGCTACTTCATTTGGAGGATTATGTATGAAATGTATGAAGGGAAGGAGGCACCAACAACTAGTCATTTACTCCAACATCTGAAGCACTGACTGCAGGGAAACATGATGAATTTTCATACAAGGCTACATATCTTCATCAACTCCTCACCTACTTGAGTTTTTGCTTATGCAAGTTCAATCAGCACAGAAATCATTATGGAATCTTCAAGAAGAGTCGTCTGGAGAAATGAATACCTGAGCTGAAATACTACGGAAGTACACTTCGGAGGAACTAACTGAACCTCGTGGTGTTCAAGTTTTGCAACTTCCACCATACCATTGCTGTTGTAATATAATAAAAATGGTCTGGTCAACAATGAAGAATAGACTCATGCGACCCCACAAGGATCTTGGTTTCAGCAATATGGAAAAAAGAAAATCTCAGAATGGATGAGCTAGTACAGGGGTGTCAAACATACGGCCTTTGGGCCAGATACAGGTCTGCTGCAGTGGTTCATCTGGCCTGTCATCTGTTCTTGAAATTTCTGCTTAGATCTGCAGAAAATTTCAGTGAAAAATGATGGGTGTGACCTGCAAGCATCTGCAGGGTATGTATTGCTGGCCACTGACTGATTTGAGTTTGATACCCCTGAGCTAGCAGCTGTGACACTTGACAGGATGATCATCTCTCTTGGGGAAGACGAGTCTAAAGAGGAATTTTGGAAGGTTTGACCGAAATGTCCTGAAGTGGTAAATATTCATCACCACTGCCATAACTGGCCTATTTCCATCACTGAAACAATCGCTATCGGGGCTAATGGGCAATGAAAGGATTAGAAATGCGTAAAACAAGGAATGAGGTGCATTTCTCATTCCATTAGCTTCTTCCCCACCAAGTCCCATCTGTACATCCACATCATATACTCTATGATGAACTGACACAGAGGAGTGGTGTTAGTTCATGGATATGATAAATTAATGGAAATATACATGGTAAATGAAACTTCGCTGAACTCTAGTATTCCCTTTTTTTGACCACCCCACCCCCTCTCCTTTTTTACCGCTTCCCTCCTTGAGGGGTCATAAATATTGATTCTTTCTATCAACTCAGATGGCAAGGTGTTAGTCCCTTTTATGGAGGTTCTCCTGCCAGCAGGCACTGTTGCTTCACATGGATTCAGGATACCGACTATAGCATGGTTGAGATAGCAATATTATTACAGGATTTGTGTTCTCAGGCATCTCACAGTGATCTTGTCACCAAAATGGTACTTCACCAGTGTAGCTTGGCAGTGGACTGAGGGTAGTCTGTATGACTACTGCAATATTAGATATTGTTGATAATTTCACATAATTTGTGAAATGCCAACTTTGGCATGCTATGCTTAGAAGCAGATGAGTGAAAATTGGCCTGATAAGTTTCAAGTTTGTCTCTCTGCTCTGATTGGAGGAGCATGAGTTGATTTTGCACCTTGTTGAAATTGCTCTACTTTTTACACATTACTCCTGCACCCAGCTGTGCCTGAAGTAAGAAAATTTTTTGGAAGGCCAATTCCAGCCAATTGGCATTGCAGTCTGAAAAGCTTGGTGCTCTTCAAAAATTCATGCTGCCCTGATTCATGGAATTCTTGGTTTATTTTGCATTAGGCTTCAATGAGCTTGACCAGCACAGAAATGACAACAAGAAAATAAATGGAAATCTTCAACTTGGAATTTCTTCATCAGGTTCAGCCAATCCAACAGATACTCTTGTGCAGCACACTGTGATTCCTCCAACAGGTGTGCCTTCAGGGAGAGTGTCTAGTGTCTCTGGTGCCATTTGCTTCCCTGAGCATGTTGAATTTTTCTTTATCCAACCTGTTCCTCTCATTTTTATACAAGTCTTTTACCTTTCCCCAGCTCATGAATAAAATCTCAGGGATGGGCGTTTCAATTTTGGATTTTGACAGTCACTGGGAGGTATTTGTATCAGTTGATACTACAGCACTAGAATAGGTATTTGTTTTGGTACATGTGGATGAGTGAATCTTTTTTGTGATAAAGGTTAGGTAGTGGAGGGGGGGGGTTAGAGAACCACTCCCTTATGAATAATATATGCATTAGCTGCTGTGATCATCTCTCATCTATTCTGCCTATAACTTCACTTGTGATAATTTGAATAAGTCTTTACCTTACCCAACATCTTTTCATTTTTATTTTCCTTTTATGTATAGACGTGAATTTTCATCAAGTTTTTCCTTTTCAAGTTTGGATCTCAGGCCTGAATGAAGTACTTTGTTGATTATTGAAGTTGAAAATTGAGGCTTTACTTTCAGCAGGCATTGCACAATTATATACAATTCTTACAGTCGTGCTTTGTCAAGAATTCATTCTATTAGCACCAAGGGATGTACATTTAATTGTTAGAGTGAGGGAATTCTTAGGGAATGATTAATGTGGCTGTAGGGCACATGGATTCTCACACCTTTTATCTTTAATCATTAATGGGTGATAAGATAATGTCAATGAACATTAGAATGTGTAGCAACAAGTTTAATATTCAAGATGGAAGAAAATTTTCAGCTACAGATTTTCATCCTGATATTCTGCAGGGAATATGTATTAAACTAGAATTGTAGTTATTTTTAAGACCTATGTGTTATGTATACCTGCCAAATCCTATGGATTTTATTGGGTCTAAGGAGATAATCATTACCTGTTCTAATCCCAGTCAGCTCTAATCTGGAATCTGTCTGAAATGGTTTTTAAGGATGAATCAAACTCAAAGTTTGATTCAGCATTTGCATATTTCTGATGAGCCTTGAATCTGCTGTGATCCCGTATTTGAAGCCAAGAAAAATCTCACATGGGTTTTCATTACCTCTGGTTTTTCATGGACACTTGTGTATGGAAACTTCAAAAGCAGAGGTGCCTAAAGTGGCTGTTCCCTAAGGCACTTCGGGTGTCACATGCAACCTATAGGTTGCATACATGTATGCAAGAAAAAAGCTCCCATCAGAGCCCTTTACCCCATAGCTGATTTTTTAAAAAGTACTCCTGTTTTTTTTTAAATATTGTTCTTACTGTTGGGTTAGGGTCCTTGCTGGCAGAATTGCCTACTTCACATGCTTGCTGGCTGGCAGTTACTCAAAATCATTTGCATGCACATGCAACATGGAGGAGTTCCATGGATGTATCAAGGTCCTTATGAAATGACCTTAAAACATTTGCAAAGTTATCCTGATATCCCAAAAATATGAAAGAAAATATAAAAAATAAATATAAGCAACATGAAATCTTGAAGCATCCAAATTGAATTCTCTTAATTAGGAAACAGGCAGTCGTCCTCCAGTTTTCTCCTTCCCTGGACATTTCCATGGCCCTAAGCATTCCACAAAGTCCTATATGTGGTTTTTGTGTCTCCAGAGGATTAACGTAAGTACGCGAAAGTCGACCCGTGCACAAATTTGGACGGAATTCCGGTTCACTTCACGGACCTCGCCATTATAACGACATACTGGCCTCTGTGTCTTCGTCTTCGAATCCATGTTTTAAGCGAAGCTTAAAATGTGTCTCACAGAGAATGCATCGTTGTTAATCCTTATAGTCAACCGGAAACGAGCTCCTTAAATTACATCATTCTTACTTTAAGTGAGGCACGCTGAGAT